TTCAATTTCCCCAACCACAAAACAGCTCACCTGACAATCAGCCTGCAAAACACTCACCTTGGATGAACCGGGGCAGGCCTTGCCAGGCATCAACCCATCAGCATGAATCCACCACTAACAGGGCCCAACCTCTGTGGCCATGTAAAGCATCTCTGCATCCAAACCCCTCTTTAATCTCCAAATCAACTTTCACCTGTCAACACTGAGCAGAGAAATGGCGTCACGCAGTGGCGCTACCCCAGGCAAAGATCACAAACCTGGTGCACGATTCCGCTGGCAACTGCTCCCTAAAACCTCTTCCACTGACATCCTCACAGGCTCTCCAGAACCACAACTGCCTTTGTGAGGTGCCCCACATCTAGCAATGCGTCACACCAGAGTCTGGACTGAAAATGTGCCAACCCCTAATCAGGGAAGCACTAGAGAGGGGCCAACACACGACTTCTACGGCATTGTCAGGAATCCCCACATCACAGGCCTCAACAACACTGAACGTGGGCTAGCAGGACAAGAGCCTGCTCTAACAAAGAGCCCACCTAGGCCTGCCCTCAGCACCACCCCCTGGAACACCACTAGGTGGGCAAAAACCCAAGTAGGCAGCCCCCTTTCTCCAGCTACAACCATAAAAGCACAAAGGGCACAAGGAGATCCACATTGACACCCACAGAGCTCACCCAATGGAAAAGGACAGGCCTAAAGACAAGCGAAGGGACTTAGCAGCAAGGCAGGGAGGGAAAAGTGGGATGGAAGAGGCAGCCCCTCATGCCACCAAAACTCCAGAGCCCAGACCAGCCCGACAGGGCTGCAATGAACATGGAGCCACCTCTTCACAAGGCACCAAAAACCACAACACATAAGTGCCACGGAATGACCGCAGTGATGACACCCCACGCCTCCAAGGCCATGGCTGTATCTGCAGAACAGCCTGACAGGCATCTTCCATGCAAATCGTCCCAAACACCTACTCTGACTTCAAGGCTGCCGCCAGGGCCGGATGAACACGTCCTCACCAGGAGGACATGCCAAGGGAGCGCTGTGGGAAGGTGAACACGCCCCAGCTCATGACTTGCCAGGCTGTGGCACGCACCAGCTGCTTGCTGACAAATGCTGCCATGCGCAAAGGCTGTCCCGCCCCTCGGGGACCAGCATAAAAGCCGGCCCAGAGCCTCTGTCCCTCACTCGCTTCTACTGAGGCCTTCTCCTGCGCGCTCAACAAGGTGAGCCTCAAGCCCCTTACCCTCTGCTCCTGCCCCCCTGCCCCGGCTCTTCCAGCACGCTCTGCCCCAGCCTCAGCACCCCTCACGCCTCCCCAGACCCACAGCCCCACAGCCCCACACCAGCCTCCCCACTGCCTCGCCCTCCTGCACCACAACCCCTCGCACCCCCACACCCTCCGCTCTCCCCACACCCTCTTGTCCATTCTCTCCTCCCCTCTCCTCTCCTCTCCTCTCCTCTCCTCTCCCCTGCCAGGGCCCCTCCACACCACAGACATGGCCTGCTACGACCTCTGCCGCCCCTGCGGACCCACCCCGCTGGCCAACAGCTGCAACGAGCCCTGTGTCAGGCAGTGCGAGGACTCCCGCGTCGTCATCCAGCCTTCCACCGTGCTGGTCACCCTGCCAGGACCCATCCTCAGCTCCTTCCCCCAGAGCACCGCCGTCGGATCCTCCTCATCCGCTGCCGTGGGCAACGTCCTCAGCGCCCAGGGAGTGCCCGTCTCCTCTGGGGGCTTCGGCTACGGCCTTGGCTACGGCTTCGGAGGCCTGGGCTGCTACGGAAGGGGAAGAGGCTGCGACATCTGCTAAGGGCCATTGACAGCACCGTAACACCAACCACCCTGGAAGCCACAGCAAGGAATCAGAAAGCATGTCTGCGCCACTGTTGGCCTATACATTCTCCATCCAGTACTGCTCCTCTGAAGGCAGAATGAAACCAAGCAGGGAAAGGGTTCAGGCAATGCTACCTGTAACCAAGGCCCATGGACCTCCTCCTCTTCTCTCACTTTCTTCTCTGCATTGTCCCTTCTAATATGTCCCAACCTCTCTGCTGCAAGGGAGTTCTCACAAGCCAAATCCTACCAGGAACCAACACCGTTACGATTACACCATGAGAGATAAGGACATCAGGTCTCTAGCAATAGCTGCTATGTAAAACTTCCTATGGTGGCCCTACTCGTACCTCTGACTGGTTCCCTCCCTCTTGGTGCTCCTGCCTTTCCACTATATTTTTTCGTCAATAAAGTTCTCCTGCATCCCAGCCTCAGGCCCTTCCTCTTCACTTTTTCCCCAAAGGCTCATCCAGTCGCACCCAGCACAACAACAGGGGTCAACAGGCCAACGGGGTGGGTTGAAACAGGCATCACCAGAGCTCTCTTGGGAAGCAAAGCACCAGCAACACCACCCACTGGCACTCGGGGAGATTCCAGCACATCACACCAGCTCCTTGCCTTCGCAAACAAAGGCTTGGAAACATTTATGCGCTTCCAGCCATGCCTCTGTCACACGTTCCCCATATGTTCAGGGTTACCTCTGCCTGGTGCCTGCTAACCTACTCCGTCACTTTTCCTCTGCAAACAGACAGAGAAAATATGACAAAAGAGTCATGGGTCAAGATATCCACCAAGTGGTTCACCTTTCGTCTCCACCTCTCTCTGCTTTACAGACAAGGTTATTGTGTGGGACACTATCAAATGCCTTGCACAAGTCCAGGTATATGACAACAGTACATCTTCCCTTAACCACCAATGCTATAACCCCTCATAGAAAGACATCAAATTTGTCAGGAAGGATTCACCCACTGTGAAGCCCTTCTGGCTGTCAGTGTTTTTCAAGTGTTTTGGCATAGTTACCAGGAGAATCTGCTCCATGCTCTCTTCTGGCACAGAGATGACACTGACCAGCCTGTAGTTAGCCCGGCTCTTCTTTCTAGCTTTTCAGAAATGAGGACTATGAACTGATATCTTGCTGTGGGGTCACTCCATCACATTGGCCCGGTCCTTAAGGAGGATGTGGAACAGGGTTGGCCCCAGGTACAACTCCTGAGCTACACTACTTGAGACTTGCCTTCAAATGGACTTTGTGCTACTCATCACAACCCGCTGGGCTCAGCCCTTCAACCACGCAGCAGCCCAGTGCACTGGCACCAGACACAAAAGGTACTTTGTCAGCTTGTTGATGAGCATGTGAGGGGTGAAAGGGTCAAAAACTTTACAAAGAAATTCAAAGGAAACACCAGCCATGGTTTTCTCCTCATCCACAATGATGGGCACTCCCATGGAGAGGAGACAGAGTTCAATCAAGCATGATTTACCATTTGCAAATATATGCTAGAACTTCATCTCAATTTCTTGTCCTTCCTGGGAAGACATTCACAGTCCTTTCTAGGAAGACTTCCTACATCACCTTCCATGGGAACATGATCAGACTCAAGAGCTTCTAGTTTCCCACTTCTCCTAAGATACATAAGACACACCTCCCAAGAACTACAGGCAGCTCCCTCAGTATTATTGGTGACCTTCATGGCCCAGGGACTACCATGCATTCAGTCCAAAAGCTCTCCCTCTGACCTCACATCAATTTCCCCAACCACAAAACAGCTCACCTGACAATCAGCCTGCAAAACACTCACCTTGGATGAACCGGGGCAGGCCTTGCCAGGCATCAACCCATCAGCATGAATCCACCACTAACAGGGCCCAACCTCTGTGGCCATGTAAAGCATCTCTGCATCCAAACCCCTCTTTAATCTCCAAATCAACTTTCACCTGTCAACACTGAGCAGAGAAATGGCGTCACGCAGTGGCACTACCCCAGGCAAAGATCACAAACCTGCTGCACGATTCCGCTGGCAACTGCTCCCTAAAACCTCTTCCACTGACATCCTCACAGGCTCTCCAGAACCACAACTGCCTTTGTGAGGTGCCCCACATCTAGCAATGCGTCACACCAGAGTCCGGACTGAAAATGTGCCAACCCCTAATCAGGGAAGCACTAGAGAGGGGTCAACACACAACTTCCACGGCACTGTCAGGAATCCCCACATCACAGGCCTCAACAACACTGAACCTGGGCTAGCAGGACAAGAGTCTGCTCTAACAAAGAGGCAACCTAGGCCTGCCCTCAGCACCACCCCCTGGAACACCATTAGGAGGTCAAAACCCCAAGCAGGAAGCCAGCTTTCTCCAGCTACAACCATAAAAGCACAAAGGGCACCAGGAGATCCACATTGACACCCACAGAGCTCACCCAATGGGAAAGGAAAGGCCTAAAGACAAGCTAAGGGACTTGGCAGCAAGGCAGGGAGGGAACAAATGGGATGGAAGAGGCAGCCCCTCATGCCACCAAAACTCCAGAGCCCAGACCAGCCCGACAGGGCTGCAATGAACATGGAGCCACCTCTTCACAAGGCACCAAAAACCACAAGTGCCACGGAATGACCGCAGTGATGACACCCCACGTCTCCAAGGCCATGGCTGTATCTGCAGAACAGCCTGACAGGCATCTTCCATGCAAATCGTCCCAAACACCTACTCTGACTTCAAGGCTGCCGCCAAGGCCGGATGGACACGTCCTCACCAGGAGGACATGCAAAGGGAGCACTGTGGGAAGGAGAACACGCCCCAGCTCATGACTTGCCAGGCTGTGGCACGCACCAGCTGCTTGCTGGCAAATGCTGCCATGCGCAAAGGCTGTCCCGCCCCTTGGGGACCAGCATAAAAGCCGGCCCAGAGCCTCTGTCCCTCACTCGCCTCTGCTGACGCCTTCTCCTGCGCGCTCAACAAGGTGAGCCTCAAGCCCCTTGCCCTCTGCTCCTGCCCCTCTGCCCCGGCTCTTCCAGCACGCTCTGCCCCAGCCTCAGCACCCCTCACGCCTCCACAGCCCCACAGCCCCACACCAGCCTCCCCACTGCCTCGCCCTCCTGCACCACCGCCCCTCGCACCCCCACGCCCTCCGCTCTCCCCACACCCTCTCTTCCATTCTCTCCTCTCCTCTCCCCTGCCAGGGCCCCTCCACACCTCAGACATGGCCTGCTACGACCTCTGCCGCCCCTGCGGACCCACCCCGCTGGCCAACAGCTGCAACGAGCCCTGTGTCAGGCAGTGCGAGGACTCCCGCGTCGTCATCCAGCCTCCCGCCGTGCTGGTCACCCTGCCAGGACCCATCCTCAGCTCCTTCCCCCAGAGCACCGCCGTCGGATCCTCCTCATCCGCTGCCGTGGGCAACGTCCTCAGCGCCCAGGGAGTGCCCGTCTCCTCTGGGGGCTTCGGCTACGGCCTTGGCTGCGGCTTTGGAGGCCTTGGCTACGGCTTTGGAGGCCTGGGCTGCTACGGCAGAGGAAGGGGATACAACATCTGCTAAGGGCCCTTCACAAGATGCCTGAAACGCCTCACAAACATTCGAGAAGCAAAGACATGGACTGAAGATGCATGTCTCTGCTGGTTTTGATGAGTGGACCTGCCCACAACAGCTTCTAATCTCAAGGTACCAGGAGAGGAAGCAGGGCTGGGGGCCAGACCAGCCTCTTTGCATCATATCGCATAGATCCTCCTCTTTTTACACTTCCTTCTGTGCATCATTCCTTTGGTGATGTTCAGTACTTTCTGCTATTAAAAACATCTCAAAGGGCAGAAAACACTGGGGGAATCTTCAGGGATCTGCTCCTTCTGCAAAGTAGTAACGCCTTGATACTCTGTCATAGTCTTCTGCAAGCAGAAGACCTTGACCGATGGCCACTCTACTTGCACATCAGATCCTCTTTCTTCCACTTGGTGATTCTGACTTCTCAACCCTGTTTCCTCAATAAAGTCCTCCTGCATCCCAGTCTGAAAAGCCTCCTTTTCCTTTGTTTTACCAAGGATCATCCACCTTCACCCATCAAAAGTCAGGTCTCTACAGGCCATTAGGTTTGGTGGAAAAGGGCCACTAGTCATCTCCTAGGATAAATGGCAGGACACCCAGAACAATATACAGTGGCAGGTGGAGGCCTTCCAGAACATGACACATGCCCATCCACTGGCTCAAAGAAATGATTTGATGTGGTAACGCTCCCCTCTGCATACCTTGACTACCAGCACACACTTGACTAACTCAAGTTAGAGTTAGTAGCTAGAGTGTCCAGCTACAGCAGCTTGTCTTAGACATGGACAGTTGGGTTGTCAGTAGCTTCCACCTTGGAGACTTCACAACCTCTTCCACTCATTGACTTTCCTTACACTGAAAAAGGATTTCCTTCTTTGCCCATGGAATTTCACCTTTTTTCCCTTGAGTCCAGAACCCTTTTTCCTGCCACTGACCACAAGCCTCTGGGCCCAGCCCTTCAGCCACTTTGCAGTCCTCCTCACTGGGCTCTTTCACAACCCAGACTTTCTCTGCTTACAAGGAGCGTGTAATGGGAGACAGCGACAAAGGCTTCCTTCAAGGACAGCTCAGCAATAGACACTGCTCTAACCTATGCCAACAACCAGTGGTTTCAACAGGGAAGACACAGAGGTTGGTCAAGGACAATTTCCATTCCTAAAATCCACACCTAAATCCATAGCCTGTCACCCTGACCCTGCAAGGCATGGCACTGCTCTCCAGGAAGGTTTCTTCTGTCACCTTCTGTGGGAATGAGGTCAGGCTCAACAGCCTCTACTTTCTAAGAATGCACCTCCAGATCTTCTTCACAATGAGGGGCATGAGTTCTCTCCCAGCCTACTGGAACTGCTCCCAGGCACCACAACTTGCTCCAGGAGCTCCATGTCTCTCTTCTACTCAACACAGAACTCCAGCTGATGCTCACCAGGGATTAGTAGAGTGTCCATTCCACCCCTGGATGCAGGGTGAGATACCTACTCTCCAAATTCCTTCTCTGCACTTCTCATCCTGATCTAGTCCACTTCAAACACTATCTCACACCCTAAACCACACTGGAAATCCCAAGTGCACTGCTCCCTCTGTGGGACACAAAAACCTCAGGATTCAGGCAACACCTGCTACACACAGGGGACCCAGCTGATGGTTGCCCTACTTTTACGTTACACTCTTTCCCTTGGCTCTCCTGCCTTTTCACCATTTTCTTCATCAATAAACTTCTGCATCCAAGCCTCACCCAGTGCTCAACCAACCACGAGCAGCACCAAGCTAGGGCTCAATAGGCCACCAAGTTGGTGGAAAAGATCCACTAGACCACATTAATGTATTAATTCCCCTCCAAAACCCTCCTGTGGGCTTCCAGCCCAGACACCAGCGCTTCCCTTGCCATAAACCTTGGAAATGCTAATGCACTTCTACCCACACCTCTGACCCAAGCTCCCCATGGCAGCACACACTTCATCAAGTCTCTTTCCAAGCACAGCTACCTGGGCATCACAACAAGCAGAATCATAGCAAAGAGAATCATTTAGTGCACAAGGGACCTCTGGGGATCATCTCTTTCAGGACAGCCTCCTCAAGAATATTCAGAAAGAACACGCTGTCAAAGATACCCAGTCAGGTTTTCAGTATCTCCAAGGATGGAGAATCCAAAACCTCCCTGCACAACCAATGCCACTGCTTGACCACAATCACACCGAAAACGTGTTGCCTTCTCTGTCAGAGAAAAGGGCACATCTTTACACCTCCCACCATGCCCTGGACATGGCACGGAGGAGAACATTCTCTCTCCCTTGTCTTCAATTCCTCCCACTCAGGATATAAACACATTGATGACATCTGCCCTGGGCAGCCTCGCCTCCTACCTGAAAAAAACCCTCCCACCTCTCTAAGCTTCTCCTCATAGCAAGGATCTTCCACTCCCTACAGCATCTTGGCGGTCCTGTATTGGACTGCCTCCACCACATCCGTGTCCTTCTTCTAGGGAGAAAACTTCGACTGGACTTAGGCCTCCACACAAAGCCTCACTAGCATTGAAGAGATCAATTACCACCCCCCACAACACCAATCTGCTAGCAAATCTATTCCCAATGCTGAGATGTAGAATCTCGGCATGTTTTGCTGCAAGGGTGCATTGCTGCACCATCCTGAGCTTGTTCTCCACCAGCCCCACAAAGCTCTACTCAAAAAAAGCTGATTTCCAGCATCTCAGGCTCTAGTACGTTCTGACAACAGGAGCCATTCCTCCCTACATGGAAAATTTTACATTTCTTCCTGTTGAACTTCAGGAGATTCCTATCTGCCCATCCTCCAGCACCACCCGTTCCCTCTACATCATGGCACAACCATCCAGCATCTCAGTCTCTCTCCACATTTTGCATCATCTCTAAACCTGCTGAGAGAGCACTCAAGCCAACTGCCCACAAACACAGGTGACCCCACACCCCTTGACCATGCAAGGGGAGAAAGCATCAAAGGCCTTGCACAAATACTGAGGTAAACAACAGAACAGCACTCTCCTTGTCCACAAAACTCATCATTTCAAAGTAGAACACCCTTACAAAGGTGGTCTCCTTACAAGGTGCCCCACATCAAGCACTTCATCAAACCAGAGGCCAGGCTGCGCACGTGCCACTCATAAAAGAGGGTAGAGCTACGACTGGGCCAACACAAACTTTTGGACAGATTGGAAGTGCTCCCCACATCACAGGAATAACCAGATCTCAAGCAGAGTTTCCAGGAGCACAGCCTGCTGTTGCAAACTGCCCTCCCCTGACACGGCTACGAGGACACGGGAAACCTCTTCACAAGGCACCCACAAACTACAGCACAAAATTGGTAAGAGATGATCTCACTCACAGAAACCCACCTCTTCAATGCTTTGGTTGCATGTTCTGCCAAGTGTCAGGAAATGCGCCATCAACACCAAGACTTTGGCCTTTAATATTTGCACTTCAAGGCTGCCGCCAGGGCCAGAAAGACCCGTCCGCAACAGGAGGACATGCAAAGGGAGCGTTGTGGGAAGGAGAACACGCCCCAGCTCATGACTTGCCAGGCTGTGGCACGCACCAGCTGCTTGCTGACAAATGCTGCCATGCGCAAAGGCTGTCCCGCCTCTCAGGGACCAGCATAAAAGCCAGCCCAGAGCCTCTGTCCCTCACTCGCCTCTGCTGACACCTTCTCCTGCGCGCTCAACAAGGTGAGCCTCAAGCCCCTTGCCCTCTGCTCCTGCCCCCCTGCCCCGGCTCTTCCAGCACGCTCTGCCCCAGCCTCAGCACCCCTCACGCCTCCCCAGCCCCACAGCCCCACACCAGCCTCCCCACTGCCTCGCCCTCCTGCACCACCGCCCCTCGCACTCCCATGCCCTCTGCTCTCCCCACACCCTCTCTTCTCTCCTCTCCTCTCCTCTCCCCTGCCAGGGCCCCTCCACACCACAGACATGGCCTGCTACGACCTCTGCCGCCCCTGCGGACCCACCCCGCTGGCCAACAGCTGCAACGAGCCCTGTGTCAGGCAGTGCGAGGACTCCCGCGTCGTCATCCAGCCTCCCGCCGTGCTGGTCACCCTGCCAGGACCCATCCTCAGCTCCTTCCCCCAGAGCACCGCCGTCGGATCCTCCTCATCCGCTGCCGTGGGCAACGTCCTCAGCGCCCAGGGAGTGCCCGTCTCCTCTGGGGGCTTCGGCTACGGTCTTGGCTACGGCTTCGGAGGCCTGGGCTGCTACGGCAGAGGAAGGGGATACATCTGCTAAGGGCCCTTGACAACACGCATGAAACCAGCCACCAAAACCCTCGAAGCCATGGCAAGGTCTGAGGATGCAGTTCTGGGCATTTCCTGACATGTGGACCTGCTGTCCACAGCTCCTCATCTTGAGCCACCAAGAGAAGAAACAGCGCACAGGGCCTGCCCAGGATGCCTGAAAATATTGCCCCTGCACCTCCTCCTGTTGTACTACTTCCTTCTTTGCATCATCTCTTTGCCTGTGCCCAGGACTCTCTGCTGCAAACCCCTTCTAACAAGTCAAAGAACATTGGGGGACCTCTGCTATGCTGCTTGCGCTGCAGGGCAGGAAGAACTGTAAGCAGAAGTCTTCTGCTCATGGTCGCACTCCTTGTACCTCAGACTGTCTCACTTCCACTTGGTGCTTTTGCTGCTCTTACATTTTCATACTTTTGTCTCAATAAAGTTTCCAGCATCCCAGCCCGAGTCTCCTCAGAATCACTTTCAACAGCAGGAACCTCTCCAGAGGAGCTGACTTAATCCCTTTTCATGAACAGGACAACTAGAGCTGCATGTGTGAGACCATGGCCAGTTGGGTTTTCAGTAGCTCACAGCACAGACACTCCACCACCTCTTCCACTCTTTGCCCTTCCACACAGGCAAAAGGCTTGCCTGGTTTGCCCATGAAATCCCATCTCTTTCCCCTTATACCCACAGCCTCTTCTTCTGCATGTGCACACCAGTGACAAGAGCTGGATTCCCACCACTTCTTTCCCTGCCATCAG